CCTCTCAGCCTTTCTTCACAGAAGAGGTGTTCCAGCCCCCTGATCATTTTCATGGCCAAATACTCACACTCTCCTCCTAGACTTAAATCTTCCACACTATACAGTACATCACTTCTGGTCCAGTAAAATATCTATGTAGCATTATTCATTCTCCTTTTAATTTCTTATCCATCCCGCTTTGCCTTTTGGTTTCACTTGTTTTAAATTGACTTTTTTTTTTTTTTTTTGGTTTCTTTTTTTCCCCCCAGTATGGATACTTTAGAATGATGAAGCTCTCCAGGTATTAGGCAGTTTTGTTTCAAGTGCACGACCTAGGATTCTATTAATGATCAGCTCTGACCCCTAAACCTCCCTATAGACTCCTAAAGATAATGAGATGAGTAGGGAATTATTGATCGAAACCAATGCGGATTCCTTGTGGATCCTGCATTTCTGTGTTAAACAAAATCAATCAATGCCAACTGAAAAGCATGTTAATCATAATGTATGAACAAATTATACCAACTAAGATTCTACAGAATATAATATTGTTACAATGCTTGCAAAATAATTAAAATTTTATTAAAAAAAAATTAAAAGAAAAAAAAACCAACAAAACAAACCACCTTTTATTTACAACATAAATTCTCTGAAACCTTGAATTCAATTACCTGCACTCCAGCTATTACAAATTTAGGAATTTTGGATATCAGGACCAATGTCCTGGGTTTTCTCATAGCACTTCGTGGACATAAAAGTAACCAGAACTCAAATCCAGAGCATGAGACTAATCTAATCACAGAATTCAGGTAGGCAAATTAAAGACTGCCATCCTAATATTTTTTAAGCAATTAAACCACTTCTCTCATACCACTTTTCCTCTCATCAACTGTTTCTATTTTCTGGAGAAAACTGTTGATTATTTTTGAGCTATAAATACATATTGGACAGAATTACTGGAATCTATTGAACATTTAAATCTTCATCCCACTCTTCTTGGGTTAATATAGTTGCAATCTATGAAATGCTTTGGCAAAACAAATTTTATTTTCATACAGATAAGCTCTTCTGAGAGAACACAAATCATGGGTGCATGTGTACACACACTGTTACAAAAGACTTTTTGTCACTTGCTTTAAAACAAGGTTAAATTAGTGAAGCTACTGGACAAAAGTAGAGAATAATTGCTGTCTTCCAGTCTCTCACAAGCTCCAGCTTAACAAACTAATGAAGCTTGACTGACACACAGGGAAATTGCTCTGGTGATAAACCAGATGCTATGTTGAAATATAATATCCTATCAAAGTAATGCTACTGAGGTCATTGCCTCAGAATTTGATCTCAAAAAAGGGACTAGGGAATGCTAGTTGTAAATAACAACAGTATAACTAAAAGTGCAGGCAAACTACTGGCATAATATCACAAAACCTGCATTAATGAATAAAAATTGCAACACAACCAAACATACCAAACATACATTATGAATCTGTGGGTCTAGGAATGATGCAATCAACACTAAATCAAGCTTGAAATCATGGTGAATATTGATGACATTTTTTTCAGATTACATTAGCAATCTGCCATACTTAAAGACTTCTAGAAAAAAATAGAGTAAATCAGCTCTCTTCATCATAGGGAAACATTTCAAGAAAATCTCTGTTCTTCATGTTCTGCTCAGACCAAGCCCTAAACACTTGCATTTTCATTTTTAAGCATTCTGGTTTTATCCATACTGCCTTTCATTTCTTAGGAAAAGACCTTAGCTAATGCAGCAGTGGAAAACAGAATGGGTTTTGGTAATGAACTCAGGGCTCGCTCGAAGAGTTATGTTGACAAATGTAATCTCAGACAATGTTTGTGAGGTGTAAGAGCCCTTAAATTACTTACTCTTTTTGCTGCAATAATTGATACTTGCATTTGAAAGCTCCAGGAGATATACAGCATACCTGAGTATATTCTAAGGCACTTCTCTCCAATAAACAATGAGCAAATGTTAGTCAGGTCCAACATGATGCATTTTAAGGTTGTAAAAATGACCAGCTTTGGTACTGAATCTTCAAAACACTCTCCTCCCAGAAGCTGTAACACAATTGTTAGCTAAAGTTTTCCTGCCAGTACTTTAGTAGGTCACACTTACTATGCCTGCTTCCTTCACAAATGACTTTGCATTAATTATTAGAGTTCTAAGGTTTAATTCTGCCACCTTTACTTCCAAAATAATCTCATTAAAATTAAGACTATATAAAGAATAAAACTAAAAGAACCAAGTCTTTGGAAAGCAAACTGGCATTACAAAGCAAAACAAAATAACCCAAAACAAAACAAACTCTGCCCAATGAGATTTTTTTTTTCTTTTCAAATAGCAATTACATGTTTAACATCAACTATAAAATAAATAAAGAAAATTTGCAAAAGTGCCCTGTGTGTCCTATTTAAGAAAGCTCAGAAAAGGATTTAATTGTTTGTTTGGAAAATGGGATTCTTTATTGTAAAAAACAAAAACAACAACAACAAAAAAACCAAAAATCAATTGTTTGGTTGTTGCATTCCTAAACCAGCAGTATTTGACTTAATATCAGAGATTAAACTAGCTTTTCTCATACATAATTTTACGTAGATTTCATGTTCTGTCCAGAAGAAAGCATTTAGCAGCTGTGTTTGAAAGACTTTATTCTAGAAATGAATATAAACAGTATGGAAAAAATCAGTCTGTATTTTTTAAACTATGAACCTGGTAAATCTACAGATGGATGCTTGTTAGTCAATGGCTAATTTATCTGCCAGTTTTATTTGCAAGCAGAAGATTAGAGACAAGATAAAGTGCTCATTTATTCTTTCCTATATAATTGCCTTCATGGTATGTAAAACTATTTTTTTAAACTTTATTCACGAATAAAACCTACAGATCAAAGATTTGGCTTGTGTCTTCTTTTTAATTTGGGAATTTCATAGACAGTTCTAGGTACCATTAACCTTTCTGAGCTCTGATTACAAAACACCCCTAACAGTATCCAGGAAAGCAAAGTAGCATGTCCTACACGTCTTGCAGTTATTCTTAGCAAAGGGCTCAACTTCCTAACTGTAAACATTTCACAAAATAATAAAGAACTGTGTTATTAGATCTTATTAGAACTATGTAGACAAGCTTTAAAAAAATAATTTTAATATTTGGACACATAAGTTAATGGGAGGCTCTAATTTTCAACTGATAAACTTCCACTTATTTTTCAGATGTGGAGTATTACATAAAGAACCCTCTCTGATTACACAGTACCTAACCACAGACCCTGTCATCCAGTTCTCTGTTTTCATAAAATGATTGAAAGCAAAAGCAGAATTTGAACTAGACTTTCATGAGTTCCCCATAAAATAAATAAAGAAATAGATAGATAAAAATGTTTTCAAACATTTAATTACCTCAAACCCTCCTTATTTAGAAACTAAGCTAATATAGCAATTGGAAAATAAGGTGTATTCATGTCTTCTTACCAATACGTGCATTCTAGCTGTCTAAAGTCTCATCACTATAGGTGTCTTAATGCAAGGCAGAGAAAGAGTGAGTATCAGAGAGTGCTACATCTGATTTATCTCAGGCACTTAGGATGGGATAAATTACTCTGAGAAGGTACCTTTTGCTCTCCATTGGGTATAAAGGAAAACTGGTGTTACTAGGTTAGATAACTAGCTTTGAATATCCAAGATACAGCAAATGAATCTCACCGTAAGCCATAACTGACTGAGGAAAAGTTGTGTTCAGTTCCCACCAGACAATGCAAAATTCGCATTTTCCCTTAGAACTTTGTTGTTTTAAATTGGGAAACGTTGAATTTTGAAAGTGCTAACAGGTATTTTTGCTAAAGTTAAAATTATAAATGCCACAATAAAATAATTCATTTCTTAAGCAATTAAGTCATTGTTTCACAAAAAAACAGGAAAGAACAGAATTACTGGATATAATATCACATTACAAGAAAGACAGCTAAGAAACTGTCTTATAGAGTACCAAAAATAGTGAAAGGAAAATACAAAAATAGAATGTACATGATGTTCTATATTTAGCTTTGTGGGTAGGCTCTAAAATCTCCTTTGAGCTGTCTTCTTTGATAATCACTGGTAAGACCAAATTCTGAGGCAACAGTAGGGCATTCTCAGCAATATTTTTACTGAGGACTCAAACCAGTCAGCATTCAAAGGCAATCTGTGAATTTATTATAGTTCTATATATAAACATCTTCTCTTTACTTTTGTTAACTGAGCCTAGATCAAAACATACAATTTTGCATCAACTACTTTCAATATGTCTCCAAATTTATTTTTAATGTGAATGTTGACTAATAGCCTTGCACTGGCAGACTTCTCTTGAACATTGTCCCACTGTTAACATCTTATTTAGCTCTAACACAGAAATTAACTTCTCTCCAAATATGATGTCAAAGTGAAATATTTTCACACCTCCCAGTACGTCAGCAGTTTTCCAGCTGCATGCCATCACTGCATCTGCAGTGAATCATACAGAATCATCATCTTAATGAGAGAAGGAACACTGGACATGTAAGGTTTATTCAGATATTATATTCCAACTACAGTATCAGTGTTTTCTTCAACAACAGTAACTGTTACACAGGAGCAGTCACATTACCTTCCCAGTGGCATGAAACTTGTGGGGCTCTTTTTCAGTGTTTTTTTTAAATGTTATAGGGAACAAAATGTAAGCAAAAAAAGAATGCCATTTCACTGCTGATCCTATCATCACATGCAAAATATAACATCATCATGTCCTTAATACTCAACTGCATATCAAGCTAGAACAGAAGTGAAAATTTCAATTAAAAAAAATGTAACTGAAATATCTATAGTATTAGTCAGTAATACCCTTCTGGGGAATTTCAATGGTACTGTCATTGCTAGTTGGGACACATGAAAACTTATTCTATAGAGCTTTTCTTTTTGTTATGAGACACTACCAGTTTACACCACTCTTGTATTGTCAGAAACTGATTTAATAGATCTTTGCTTCTTACCATCAACACAGGCTGGCCTTGCTCTTGTTGTACCGGCAATCTGTCCTTTTTTACATGCACAGCGAGCTGTTTGTCGGGCTATAGTCCTTCGGGGCTGACTGCTATCTCTGTCCAAAGTAACAATCTCACATGTACCTGCAGCCAGCTGACCTGGAAAAAGAACCAGCAACAGGTACCAGAGTCACTGAATGCACTACACGCAATCCATTACAGCCGAATAGAGTCATTGCCCTATGTCACAGCAGACACTCCACGACAAATGGGCAGCCAGCTGATGGATATAATAAAACCGAGATGACATACAATTTTTCTTTGTGGTGCACATATGAAAACCCTGCAAACTGGTTCTGTCAGAAAATGATTATTGTTCCATAAAAGCCAGAGAGCTGAGGTCACACAGGTTACTTTTACTTATGTCAGCTTAGTAAAGGAACAATCTGCTTTTACAGCAATGAAATTTAAATGGCGTACTCAGAAAATAAAGTACATAGAAAACAAAACAAAAAAAATCCCCACATGTCCATGAATATAATGAAGTCTTAACTGCTTTGTGTGTTGTTTTTGAAAGAAAAAGTCTTTCCAAGTTTACCCGTGTTTGACCATATTGTCAGTCCTCTGGCTCTTGCTTCATCTAAAGTGAACAGAAATCCATTCTCTACCTGACTCATATTTGAAGTAGTTGGATTTGCTTCTTTTACTGAATTTACTATGTAACCATCCTGCAAATAACCACAAAATGACACTGCCCTGCTAGCTCAGTAACATTGTTTGCTTTTTATTGACTTCTCCAACATATGTACCTTTCATGAACACTAAGGAAATCCACACCACCTAATCCTGAATCGGGACCATGCTATGAGAGGCAAAAAATAAAAAAATAAAAAAAATAAAAAAAAAAAGTTGCAAAAAAATTTTTTATGAATAATATTAGTCTGAAATAAATGTTATACATTTAAAATTATACACTTCCTCTGGTACAACCAATAGTAGGCTACTAGTGTACCAAAATACTACCTTTTATAAGCGAGAAAGATACATTATTGAATTTCAATGCGTAGTAAGACTGAGAAAATCCCAGCTATCACTTTGTATTACATATAATTTCTGGATTTTATGGTATAGTAGTAAATATAATTTCTATTGGATTTTGTCTTTGTAGGCAATCAATTACAAACCTTCAAATAAATATGCAAAAATATATCTGCAGATCACAAGCTTACTATTTTTTTTTTTCATAAAAAATTAAGATTGGAACAAATGCAATATTGTATTCATAAAAAAGTTATGCAGTTTAAATATTTTTCACAGTAAATTATTTTTCTGCTGTTGAAATATTGAAAAAGAACAATAAGACAAAAAGCTAAAATTTTAAATCTCTGTTAACATCAACATTTAAAAAAAAAATCCTGCAAAAGACCCCTCAAACATATAGGAATGGCATTTAATTTAAATGATATTTCTGCATACTGCATTTTTTCCATTCAGAATACAAGTTTACTCAGTGTATTCTCAGAAGCAGCTTGCAATGCTTCCTATTGTATGGATACTGTTTTGAAACTGTCTGAATAGCAACATGCTGTAGTCTGTAACAGCATTATAACCGATTCACTGCTAAGCCACCTGAATTTTATGTTCCTGTGAGTCCTACACTACAGTGAATTACAGCATGGTAAAGCTGAGGATCCCAAAAATTAATATGGAAAAAGGTACTCTACAAATTCATGCAAATACATGACATATATGTAAGCAATACACATCAGGCATTTATAAATACAGATACAAGATTCATGATAGTGAACACTACAACCACAGTGTTTAACGGCTCCTGGCAACTAGACTAATGAGCTACAGTCAGTCCTGGGTTTCTCCTCTTTTCCACCCACTCTGTTAACAAAAAACATCTTAGGATAAACCTACTGATGAGAGGATTTTTACCCTACTATATGCTGTTTTTTTCTTTGTTTCCTCTGAAATCTTGGATTAGAAACCAAAGGTTTAGCCAGAAAGATAGGGGCACATGATTTTGCAGATAAGGACAAGGGAAATTCAGCTACACTGAAACATCTTGAACTGAAAAAAAAAAAAAGCATTCTTTTTTTCTCCTCATCTCTAATATATTTCATCCTGGGTTGCAGAAGACGTATTGCTCCCAAGGAATACAGCTGTCTTAGTAGATCATGTAAAAAAGACATAATCAGAGGTGTATTTAGATCTTCATCCCTTAGGCATTTGAACATCATGATTATGGTCCTGCATTCAGAATAGAAATTGAATGGAAACCAAAGAAAAAGTGGAAGCATAAATATGATATGTTTAAGTGTTCCTGAGAGCATGGGTTGCTACATCCTCCACTATCTGTAAGTTTTTATAGTACTGTTGCTTTCATTAAAAGATACAGTAAATCATATAATCTAGGTGAATCATTATATAAAACTCAATTTCCGAGGAAAGGAACCAGTTTTACAGCACAGTGGAGGTGAATAAGGACTATACTCAGAGAAAAAGAACAATGAAACACTATGTCAAGATAATTTGTGAAAGCAAAAGGTTTTCCAGGGAATGCAAGCAGTGACTATCGATAAGAACACCTAAAGATAATCTTTTCTGCTTTTGGACCTGTCCAGTTTTAGGTCTGCATAGATTCATTTTGAGCCAGTTGTGTTATTTCGTTTTTATGATTGTTTTCATCTGGTTACTCTGTTTAGAGATGATAATTTCTTCCAGGCATAGTGACCTCATTTTTGTGATGAACTTTGAAAACTGGAATGATGAAATAAATGAGAGCAATTGCTATACAAATATAATGTCATGCTGCCTTTCAAGGAATTTTGTACAACTATTAAAAATCAAGAAAAAAATGTAAAGATTTTTAAAACATATTATAGAATATTTTATTTTTAAGATCATTTCTCTGGTGCTATTTTTGTTTCTATAGAAGAAGAAAATTAAAGGTCATTGTAGAGATGAGGCAGCTCTTTGGACACATATGATGTAAATACTTTCTGGTCATTGTGTCACAGCGTAAAAAGATTGCAAGTAGATTGAGCACTACAACATAGTGTACATTCACTGTTACTTGGCTTTAGAGCTGCAAAGCATGAAAAGTATTAATTAAGGCCATGGAGGCCCATCTCCAGAGAGAGAGTCATCCTGTTGTAAAGCACGTCCTCTCTGTCTCTCATTAAGTGGAGGGTAAGTCTACAGGAATACCTTACCTAGATTACATGTACGCTACTTTTGCTTTTTAACAATTTAATCTAGAAATGTACGATACAAAATGATTGAACAAAAAGAATATACTTCCTGTAAGTACCAAGTATCACGAATTAGGATACTTTCATTTTCAGGGAAGTTAACATAGTGACGTCTTTCAACTATATTAATGAAAAAAGGCCATTCACCTGTAAGCCTCTGAACACTCTCCACTCCTAAGCACAGAGAAGAAATCTCAAGTGAGGAATGGGTAGAGTTTGGAGCTTTTTCAGTTGAGAGATTAAGAGCCACAGCCTGTGGTACACTCCTAAAGACTCTACATTTTCTGTAGATTGTATTTATGTACTTGCAGTACCAAACTAACTCACCACCTTCCAACCTGAATGAAACAATCTTGAGGGGAAAAAAAAAGGCAAGCGTCATCAGAGAACTCCGATTCATTCCCACCTTGTCTGAAAGTTTTTGCTCCAAGAAAAAAAAAAGTATTTTTTTATTATTTTATGGGCCAAGCACAAAGATTATTTCAGAGTTACCATCATCCAGTTTTCCAAGTAAATGAGTGGGTATTTCTTTGTTCTGCTACTGTTTTAAAATTATTTGTATACATAAATATTATATATCTTAT